CACTCCTAAAATCAAAGCTAAAAAAAAAAAAAAAGAAAAAAAAAAAAAACTGTTGAAGAGATAAGCTCACCTTCACCGTTAAGGATATGAGTCATGTTCAGACAAGATCAGGCCAGCAACCTTTAACAAAAAAAAAGAAAGAAAGAGAGAGAGAAAGACAGTAGCAAACTGACAAAACCCAAAACAATAAGGAGGGCTGAGTGGAGGTTTAGAGATATTCTGTTGCAATCATTTTTTAACCAACACAGCCCCTTCAATGCAAACTTATCTCTATTATCTCTCTGCAACTGCACGCATCTCTGGGGGGCTTTGACATTGTGGGCACACAATCGAGCAGGACTTTGATGCATGTGGACTTTGAGAGGTAGAGGGGATGCTGCATAGAAAGCCACAGACAAGGAGGTACCCACTGCCACCTGGCATTTGGAGCATCACTCAAGAAGCACACGAGCCAAAGCAAAGGTCACGGACTCTGACAAGAAGCAGCTTTTTTTTTTTGCATTGCATTGCATTGCTGGAGAAGCCCCGGCGGGTTCAGTGCTGTTAGAGATCCCTCAAGGGCTTCTCAGAACACATCCAGTGTAAAATAAACAGGATCGCATGTCTGTGTCCAGATAAAACATTTAAACGTCCTGCTCCAGCAGACACTTGCAGGCAGACAATACCTGCCTTTACCTGTCAGTCAAACTTGCGTCAGTCAGAAAGCTTTGGAAGCTGGTAATTAAAGGCAGTTTAAATGAAGCAATAAGGTACAAATGTGTAGCTTAAGTTTTAAAGAACACAGATAAGCATAATAAACAGCCTCGGAGGCCTCATTGCTTTTATAAAAAGGTTAATGTAACAGAAATATCAGGGATGTGTTTTCTTTAAAACTGTTTTTTTTAAGTATATTTGGCATCCTTTTGCCAGTGTGCATTTTAGAATAACTGAATCGTAGGCCAATCAGCAACCAGGACCCAAACTGTCTGGTTTATAATAACTTTTAAATATCAAATTATAAATTAATCAGCAAAAAATAACAAAACTAATGATCCACATATAAAAGCACAATCTAAATCAACTTGCAAACTTAAGTACCTACCTTGAATCAAACAAATTTCTAATTTATCTGTTTTGTTTGCACTTAATATATAGATTAAATTTATTTTGCAGTAATAAATTAATAACTTACTGACTTCTATTACTTGAATTATCTAATATTATTATATATTATTTATTGTACACACATTATGCAGTTCCAATGTTGGGGTTGCCAAATTTTATTTAACTTTTTGAAAGAAGTATTTTATGCTCACCAAGGATCAATTTATCTGATGAAACACAGTAGCAACAACATTATTGTAAAATATTATTACAATTTAAAATAACTGTTATATATTTCATTATATCTTAAAATGTAATTTATTTCTGTGATGCAGTCTTCAGTGTCACATAATCCTTCAGAAATCATTCTAATATGCTGATTTGGTGCTTTATTTTTATAAGCATTTATTTGAAATAGAAATATTTTGTATCACTTTTTTATCAGTTTTATGCATCCTTGCTGAATTAAAGTATTAATTTCTTTAATACCCCTACTGACCCCAAACCTTTTAATGGTAGTGTATATTACATTCAAATTATTAATCCGAATTAAGGTAATTACTGCTTTCTTTATCAGTAACAGTATTATCAATCTCTTGCTGTTTTTTTCTCTAACACTGCATGTGTTTGTTGGTTTTACTTCGACATACACTTTCTCAGTCTGCTGAGCATATTTGCAAACCGGAGAGGGGCAGTGGAAAGAAAAGAGATGGCCTTTGACTAAAACCACAAGTCCTACAAAAAAAAAAGGGGGCCTCATTATATATATAAGACCACATATCTATTCTCAGTACAAGATCGAGAGATTTACACAAGCAACAATATAAACATCACACAACCATGTGAAAACAGTTCTGTGTGAAAATAAGAAGGAAAAGAGTGGAACAGACAGCAACAGGTTCAGATGATGACAGTATTTAATGCAGAAAAGCCCATGCTTTAAAAACCAACATAGAACGACACACACTTTCCTTAAAGATGCCAAGGTTACAAAAGTTAACCTTAGAAAGTTTTACAACAGTAAACCTTGGTCTTACTTATAAGATTCCTATCTTTAAAATATATATTTATTTGGATATTTGACTTTGGATTTCAAGTCAAATAGTACTAAACAATTCAATATTTATTCAAATCTCTCCAACAGTTCCATACAAATGCCTTATAAGAAGATTTTTGACAACACTGTACCTGAGAAAACCCAAAAAAGCGAACAGACACACAGCAAAAGATAACCCCATTTCAACATTTCTACCAAAATATACTGTATATAATTCATACATTTTTTCACTTATATAAAAATACACTGCAAACCCTTGTCTTACTGTTTGTAAGGTCCACAGTGAATAAGAAGAGTTAAAAAACACCTTTCTCTCACAAAAAATATATATTTACACAGATGAGAAAATAGCAGTCCCATACACTTTAATGTAAAAAGTGAAACCTGACTCTAGAGTGCCTTTCTTGTAATTTCAAGTACTCTCCACTCCCAAAAGTGTGGACTCGTCGTAAGAACAGGTTTTGTTCATGTGCTCTTGTTCATTCGGGTTGTAAACATAGTCTTACATCAACGTTTCCTTCACCTTGTTCCTTTTTTAGAAAAAAACAAAACAAAAACAATGTCGCTTGATAATAATTATATAAAATGCCCTGGAATTGTGGAGCACATTCAATGTGACACCAATCAAAAAAAAAAAAATTTCTAAAATGCATAAAGATATTCATGCTTCACAAGAACAAATAAAATTCTTCAAAATGTTTCAGGCGGTATGTGTGTGAGATCTGTGACATTTTTTGGAAGTGTAAAAGGCAAAGCTATATTTTAACAAACAATAAAATGATGTGTTCAAACAATATGAATGCATTTCTATCAGTGCTGTTGTGCCTTTTAAATATTTTTCCTCATAACGTTTAAAGGGCATATTCACAGTTTTTTGGAGTTTTTCTCAACGCAGAAAAGACAAAAGCAAAGCTTTAAAAAACAATAGGTACAACAAAGTCTGATAGTGATGTAAGGCTCTTTTAGCGCTGACATAAAAGCCCAACAAATGTGCAGGGGAGGTTCTGAACGTCGTGAAGGCTGCGGTTGTACACTTTAAGCCATATGCATTGATTAAAGCTGGATTTATGGTTGTGCTACAGAATGCTTGATGTAAATATTCATCAACATTGAATAAAGAAAAAAAGAAAGAAGGGAAGAGAAACAGGAAAGGAGAATGAACGGCTACGTGTACATTCAAAACAGTCTACATACAACTGATTTTAATGCCCTGAAAACAAAGTGAAAAAAGTCTCTGCATCAAGCATGGGAAAATTGTTCAGGGGGCGAAACATTGTCTGATTAATAAACCGCGTTTTATCTTCTAAAGCTCTTGTGCAGTTCGGGTTAGTGATGAAATCTCGATGGCAATCGTCTAACATCTATAAAAGTTGTTGTTTTATTCTAAAGATCTGCCTTGTTCTGTTACCTGGCAGATTTTTTTGTCAGTTGTCATTGTGCAACGGTTACTTAAATGATCAAATGTATTAGCTAACCAGAGTCTAACCAAAAATGCATATGCAGTGCATGCAAGTGCATATTTCAGATCTTAGCTCTTAGAAAGCTCAACATAAAACACATACTGTAGGTCCATGCGTGGGCCAAAAAAAAAAGAAAACAATAAAATCTAAACTCTTTTTTGAGTTAACACTGAAGACAGTCAGAGGAGTTGGATTTAACGAGGCATTAATAATGAGGCATTTGGTCTGAAGGCTGAATGAAATTCACAGATTTCAATCCAAAGTATGGCAACCCTGTTGTTAAAGCATATAGCATATAAAGCATATAGGTGCAGACTTGTTCCCTTTTGAATCACAGATGACATTATACTAGCTAAACTACACACTGACCTTTGTTCGCTTTATCAATAGAATGGAAATAGCATATTTTCGCCCAAGGCCTCAAGCTAATAGTGCAAAAACAGGTTTATCAAGGCATGTCGCAGTGCTGTTTTCAGCGAAGTGCATAAGAACGCAAGAGATGATAGTAAGTGTGCAACAGCAGCAAAACACAGCGTGGAAAACTCATCTGTCCTTAGCACGGCAAAAGTCTCCCTTTAAAATCTACGAGACACAAGGGGGATTGTCATCATCACTTCATTAAAATGTGTCTGAAAGATTTGTGCCACCCTACAGGACTGCTTTTTTGAAACTAGAATAGCACTGACATGAGGACATTAGCATGAGTACCGAAGCTTCAGCTCATACGCCCCGGAACTTCATCGAAAGGGAGCGAGCAATGAAAAAAGACGCTAAAACGATACAAAACACTCCATAAAAGGCAAAATCGTGCCGTTCGAAACATTAGCAAGGCACTAAGAAGCCACAGCAGCAAGAAGCTCTGAATTAAAGTCTTTTAGTTCTCCAGTGGTCCTCTGGTTGCTCGGTTTACCTGTAATATTGATCAAGGTCCATAAACAGAATGACAGCATGCATCGAGGTAATACAGATGACAAAAAAAGAGAAAGAACTTCACAACTTTAGATAACACATAGCTGCTCTGTTGGAAGGTTCAGTACATATGCAAAAATAAACTGTGTGGGTGAAAAAAATTAAAAAGAACTTTAATACGAAAAACATTCACAACATAAACATACTCATCCCAGAACAAAAATCTTCAAACAGCTCCAACATGAAAACTTTCTATTGGACCCAAACCTTCATATATCTGCCGATCGGTGCTCACGTAATGCTTCGGCAGTAAACTGACTGCGAGAGTGCGTGGGATTCTTAACGAAAGGTGTGTTCTCCACGGACGATGTGCGAGGAGAACTCGTAGCGATCTTTGCTGCAGTGGCCACAGATGTTGCACTCGAGGGGGTCTCTGTAACCGTGGCAGCCCATGTGGATGGTGTACATGACGTGGTCCAGGAACAGGACGCGGCAGTGTTCGCACTGGAACACCCTCAGCTCCTGGCCTTCGCGGCTGAAGACGCGGACGCTGTCCCTGGCGGCGACTCGGACGGCATCGATCGCCCTGCCTTCCTCTGCCCGGCCAAACCCCGGGCTGGATCTCGTTCTGGGCCCGGCCCCGCCAAGCTTGTCCCGGGGGCTGCTCCGTGCCGAATCGGCCGAATCCTGTCCGCTGTTGCACGGGGACCCGTCTCGGGCCGATTGAGGATTCTTGGGCCTTACCAAGGAGATCGCGCCATTGGTTGGGTGTGGGAACTCTGGGTTCGGGTGGGGCAAAGACAGAGGCTCGCGACTGCTGAGACGGTCCATGCGGGGCCCAAGCGGGTACATCGGATGGAAGAGCGGGTTCACCATAGGCAGCACTTCGGCCATGGAGAGGGATGGGTGATGAACCACAGACCTCAAGGAGTCGGCGCCCAAGTAGTTGATGGCATTGGTAATGGAGTGGTCCATCAATTGGGCATGCATTACCTCAGCTTCCTTCTCATACTTAGGGCCCATCTCATAGCTCAGCTCGGGGTACGAATAGCGAACCATTTTCTCACCTTAACAGACAATGCAATAAAAGATACATTAGGAACAGCCCCAAAGTACTTTCCATAATGATAAAAAAATAGACTAACCTTGCAATTTACTGTAAAAAGTGCATTTAAAGTACTGTTGCTAGGGTTTTGTTGCATTAATGACGGAAAGCCCCGTTTGGAGACCGAAGTGAGAAAATTTAACCCCTGCATAATATGGATGCGGTAAACTGCTCTGGCGTAGTCAGTAAAAGCAATGGCAAAGTTACAGGTGTGCAAAAACCACAGAATGAAAAAAAACAACAACTCCTACTCAAACTTTTTCTCTCTCTCTTTCACTTTAATACTTAGTTTGATTTCCGCAGTTATTGTCATTACAACACATGTAATGAGTTTCATTTCAAATAATGTTTAATGTCTCTGATAAAGTTGCGCTACTGTGCATATATTTTATCTCTTTTAAAAAATGTTCCATGACAAATTAACTATCTCTTTATTTTTTGAAATGTAGTTCTGCTCTCTGTTCCTTCATGTGGAAACTCAGCGTTCACTAGACGGTTGCATGTGGTATTTCAGCTCCAAAACCTGCATGTTACTCACTAACCACCGGCAATCCAGTTTAACCAGGCGCTAAATGCTCTGAAATGTGCTGTATTTAAATAAGCCATTGTCTTTATTTGTGAGACTTTCTGAATTAGACCTATTATAGCTTGTGCCTAATTCACAAAACCCAGCCCTATTTGCCTGACACAATTACCGTTGCTCCTACAAAAAGTAGAAGGTACTCTTTTTTGTGTACATTTGTAATGATTATTGTGGAAGTAATTTATGAAATGACGATTAAGCAATGAAAAAGTAATAATCAGATATATGCACTTTAGACAAGCTTTCTTTTTAGCATTTTAGGACCCAACTCAAGAGGCCCATTTTGGCATTTGGAGATTTCGTGAATGTGCCGTTACCTGATTTAAAACAACGCAGACAGCACGTCCATTTTGCATTATGCACATACAGGGACTTTATGTGTGAGGTTGAAAAGGTTTCTTGCACCATGTGACCTGCCTGCGTTCGTTAGCACCGCTAGAACTTTGAAGATCAGTGTGTTGCATACAGTAGATTCAACCACATTTACTGCTGAGGTGACACTTACCCACAAACTTCTGTGGCGTGGTGCTCTTCCGTTTACCCACATTCCCCTGCAGTCTTTCAATTACAGGAGGCCGGTCGAAAGCCGCCATCCCAGCGGCCTCCAGCTGCCTCTGCTCCTTTGGTACCTCCCCTGGGAAAATTATAAAATGATTCAGCATATCAACAAAGCTGGTATAATACCTCCATAATAATATCTCCATAATACCTGGAGAAAACTATTCACTATCATTCCCATGAATCTCAAAGTTCTGCAGTCAGGTTGTTTTGAGTCGCAAATTCTCTGGAACTGTCAAGACTACGCTGATTTTACCTAGAATGATTAGTTTGAGCGAGTTTAAATGGAGAAAGAAGTTTTTTGCTGTCAGATAGTGTGGTTCGGACCAAACTACCAGTAGAGGCTAACCATGCTAACCAGCAAAACCCCTTGGTGTCAACAAAATGTACTCCAGAAAGGTTTAAAGTAGCCATTAGATGTTGGTAATTCATATTTATTTTGTTTCCAAGAAACATACTAGCTTGTGGAACACCGTTGTGTCATCCAACACCATAACAATTTCACAATAACACTAGATAACACAGGGGCTAACCATGCTAACCAGCAAAACCTTGACCACTTGGTGTAAATAAAATGTACCCCACAAATGCTACGTTTAGCAATTCTATGTTAGTAATTAATATTATCTTGTTTCCAAGAAACAGACCAGCTTGTGGAACACCGTTGTGGAACAAGGTTTTCACTATAAGTCAGCATAACACCATATCAATGAGGCGGAAAAACGTCATCTTAGATTCTCAATGAAGTCATGAGCCACTCACCTGGATACGGGCCAGGATTGGAGGCAGAGTCCATGCCGACGCTCTGCAAGTAATTATGACACCGTTCTCTGTGCTCCTCCAATGACGTGCGCTGCTTGTAGCTCCGCCCACAGTAGTTACACTTATGTGGTTTGCCCACTAAAAAGACATCAAAGAGTAGCAAAATAAGTATTAAGATGTAAAATAACTCATTCAGACCGCTCACACAAATGAGTTTCGGTCTCCAACTGAGTAAGCGAGAAAGTGGGCACAGCCAGATTTTCGTGATGATGCAACCACTACAACATGGTGGGGGGGTTTGCTCCATAGAATTACGTACTATAGTAGTAGTATTTGATGTTGTTTTATCGTCATCGATCTGTGATTGGCACCACGAGTGATGACTTGGAAAGTCTCTTTGAACAATAAACAGAAATGGAGTGAGTGTTTCTCCTCAGCCAGATAAGGTGTGAAGTGATTCACAGTCAGTTTCACTAAGATTAGGTCAGTGCAAGGGCGATAATGCGGGACAGAACCTCCCAAAGAAAGATGCAAAAGGAACAAGCACCTTGTCCTTCCGTCGTGGGCAGAGGAGAGTAGGAGGAGGACGATGCTTAGCCTCCAGAAACAGATGTGAGTTTTCCAGTAGCTAATGGAACGATTCGTTCTTTGATTCATTCCGAGCTTCATTCATCAATAGTTTGAGTCATTCATTTACCTGTCATGTTTTTCTCCTTCACTTATCGGTATCAAATCGGAACATAGCCCACCATTACGTCTGCGCTGTTCTGTTATGTCAGCTAAAAACCTAATTGAATTTGAGACAGGGGCTGCTTTCAGCTCTGTGGTCAATCCTCTGGTAAAAGGGACTTTCAGAATTATTCATAAAGAGCGCGGCAGTGAAACAAAACAGCCTAGTGAATTGAGTCATACTGTATGAACGCAGTTAACCAGTCTCTTACTGCACGTGAGAAAATAATGAAAATTCACACCTGTTACTAGCAAGCCTGTGGGATTACCTGTAAAGTGTGCCAATTTTAAAAATACCCCCTACACTTTTCGGTAACCCTCTTCAAAGCGCTGTAGTGCTTTCAGTCTGAAGCAAACAGTGAAAGTGAGAGCTACTGACTGAGACGCTGTGAAGTGACCTTTCGCATGTAGAACGCATGTCAAACAACGGTGGCCCTGTCACTTCTGTGGGAAAATAAAACAACATAGATAAGACCGGGGCTAACCACGCTAACCAGCAAAACCTTGACCACTTGGTGTAAATAAAATGTACCCCACAAATGCTACGTTTAGCAATTCTATGTTAGTAATTAATATTATCTTGTTTCCAAGAAACAGACCAGCTTGTGGAACACCGTTGTGGAACAAGGTTTTCACTATAAGTCAGCATAACACCATATCAATGAGGCGGAAAAACGTCATCTTAGATTCTCAATGAAGTCATGAGCCACTCACCTGGATACGGGCCAGGATTGGAGGCAGAGTCCATGCCGACGCTCTGCAAGTAATTATGACACCGTTCTCTGTGCTCCTCCAATGACGTGCGCTGCTTGTAGCTCCGCCCACAGTAGTTACACTTATGTGGTTTGCCCACTAAAAAGACATCAAAGAGTAGCAAAATAAGTATTAAGATGTAAAATAACTCATTCAGACCGCTCACACAAATGAGTTTCGGTCTCCAACTGAGTAAGCGAGAAAGTGGGCACAGCCAGATTTTCGTGATGATGCAACCACTACAACATGGTGGGGGGGTTTGCTCCATAGAATTACGTACTATAGTAGTAGTATTTGATGTTGTTTTATCGTCATCGATCTGTGATTGGCACCACGAGTGATGACTTGGAAAGTCTCTTTGAACAATAAACAGAAATGGAGTGAGTGTTTCTCCTCAGCCAGATAAGGTGTGAAGTGATTCACAGTCAGTTTCACTAAGATTAGGTCAGTGCAAGGGCGATAATGCGGGACAGAACCTCCCAAAGAAAGATGCAAAAGGAACAAGCACCTTGTCCTTCCGTCGTGGGCAGAGGAGAGTAGGAGGAGGACGATGCTTAGCCTCCAGAAACAGATGTGAGTTTTCCAGTAGCTAATGGAACGATTCGTTCTTTGATTCATTCCGAGCTTCATTCATCAATAGTTTGAGTCATTCATTTACCTGTCATGTTTTTCTCCTTCACTTATCGGTATCAAATCGGAACATAGCCCACCATTACGTCTGCGCTGTTCTGTTATGTCAGCTAAAAACCTAATTGAATTTGAGACAGGGGCTGCTTTCAGCTCTGTGGTCAATCCTCTGGTAAAAGGGACTTTCAGAATTATTCATAAAGAGCGCGGCAGTGAAACAAAACAGCCTAGTGAATTGAGTCATACTGTATGAACGCAGTTAACCAGTCTCTTACTGCACGTGAGAAAATAATGAAAATTCACACCTGTTACTAGCAAGCCTGTGGGATTACCTGTAAAGTGTGCCAATTGTAAAAATACCCCCTACACTTTTCGGTAACCCTCTTCAAAGCGCTGTAGTGCTTTCAGTCTGAAGCAAACAGTGAAAGTGAGAGCTACTGACTGAGACGCTGTGAAGTGACCTTTCGCATGTAGAACGCATGTCAAACAACGGTGGCCCTGTCACTTCTGTGGGAAAGGATGGATTACAGCAACAGAAAAAATGGCTTTGGTTCGCCTGGAACAAACAAAACAAAATAAAATATTGTTTTACAATAACAGTATATATTATTATTTACCAAAATTCATATAATACATTGTCTTCATAAATGATTAACAATTTATAATATTAGAATATATAATATTGAAATAAAATAAATATACATATAAAAATATAAATATAAATGATTATATGGCATTCACGTGAACTTTCACACCATATCAACTGTGAAGAATGACTAAATTCCCTTATTATTACTATATTTAAATAGTCTTTCATGAACGTGGTCTTTATGTCATTGTGTAAATGTCAGGTAATCAAGGGACCTAGGGCAGACATCTATACGTCAATAGTTTTGGGGTCTTTATATGTCAGTGGGTGACTGTATTGGAAACAGTTTCACCTGATGAGACAGCTCTGAAAGTGACATTTTTTGTCACACTTTCAATATTTCTAATAAACCCGAGGCTTTAAAAATTTAGGTATGCGCATGACAGCACACGAGAAATGGGTTGGAGCAGACATACAGAGGATATAGTGCATCCACACTGACAAATGTACCCTATAAATGGAGAAAAAAAGAGAACTGAACTGTTTGGTTCAATGAACTGTCAAAAACACCTGCAAACTGCAAAGTCTGGGATAGTTATTCATGCTAAAATTCGTCAAAGAGAAAGATGCGAACTCGTACGGTGCGAAAGAAACGCAACAAGCTGTTTCATCGATTAATAGCAGCTGTTCAAAACCCTATGAGTTCCTGTAGCAAAGTTTGGACGAATCAGAAAAAAAATCCCTGTCTAAGCACTTATTCAAATGCAAATTCATGCACATAGTGCTGCATTAAAGCCCTCTAAACCGCATCCATTCGGGTTGAAAACAGGAAACAGTGAGATGAGGATGACATTTCATTTCAAGCAAATGCCTATCAATTGTAGAGCATCAGCAAAAGTGCTCGACTTACACAACTGGTAGTTAAACACGCACACAGCTTAAAGCATACTCTCCCTGAATCAAACGTTGGCCACTCACCTCACGTTTCAAAACAGCCAAAGCAACCCAAAGCAAAGTCCCCAACATTATGACACGCCTAAAACTGTGGTGCAACATATGCTGTTTCAGTTTCATCTTTTAGAGCACGTTTGTGGTCTGCGTGCATGCATATGGATTCCAGCGACAGCCGTTAATCAACGATCGGATAGCCAATGTTTTGCACGTTTTTACTCCCTCTTAACTTTCCTGGGCTGTTTGCCACCAATCCTCCGGTTGCCAAGGGCCAGAGAGGAAAGGGCCTTTCATGTGGCGCCCGTTGCACAAGAAGCCATCAGACCTGCTAAGTCACTCGCATTCCGCTCCAACTGAGGTTGCTGGCGGGAAGGCGGACGGGTCAACGAGGAGCGGGGATGGACTTATGGCAAAAAGGGCGAGACCGCCCTGGGCAATGTTGTTGCTTGGGTTACTCCTTAAAATGACTCCAGCAACAACTACACATCTCACACTGTGGTAGAACAAAGCTTTCTTGTGGCATCTCCTTACAATGCCTTTAGAAAATTATGTGCAAATGAGTTAATGACTCTCATCGGCCACAAATGTTTATATACTGAGGTAGTTTGGTGCGTAGGTTTTGGTGGTAAAAGTTCTCGCACTGACATTTGATATCAATATAATAGACCACAACACACACACACACCACAAATTTTGCATAGTTAGTTATTAAATGATGGAGAATCTATACTACCAGGCTGGATACACCTACTCGTTCTGTATCATGACTACGATCAAATAATAGTAAAGTCATCAAAGCTATAAAGTAAGTCAAATGGAACTACTTAGTGATCAAATAAGTTTTAAATTGAAATGTTTTGTAAAGAAATTCATGCCTAGGCACAATTTACCATTAAAAAGTTTGTGGTCAGCAAGACTGTATTCGTACTTTAAAAAAAAAAAAATTTCAGTAATGACAAATTAAATCGATCAAAAGTGACATTTATAGTGTTACAAAATATTATATCTGAAATAAATGCAGTTCTTTTGAACTACCGAAATCAGCATATTATAATGATTTTTGAAGGATCATGTGACACTGAAGACTGGAGTAATGGCTGCTGAAAATTCAGCTTTGCCATCACAGGAATAAATTACATTTTACAATATATTAAAATAGAAAACAGTTATTGTGAAATATTACTCTTTTTACAGTATCTTTAATCAAATAAATGAAACAAAAACATTTTAAAATCTTAACAACGGGAGTGTATTTAATATACAATTGTATCAATTTGAAGATCAAAGGGCTAATTTCAATATTTAGATCAAACGGTTTTTAACACAGCATCATGAGAAACAGAAATTCAGTCAATTGTGTGAACAAAAACATATGGTGGTCATCAGCCCTAAAAAAACCCGCGACCATCAGCGCATATGTGAAACCAAAATGTAGCTATGTCTTTAAGAATGATTTCATAAATTCTGTCCACAAAAACAGGACACCACAGACATCAGCTGCCTGGCCTAAAAACTGCGTTATCCCTGCGCTGTGATTAGAACTGCAAAACAGGAAATGACAAAAGACGAAGAAAGGCAGCAAAACACGATGAGAGTGATAGGTCGCTCCTGCTCTCCCTGTGCATTTTAACCAAGCAGTCCCTGAGTGACAGCTCGTGAAGTCCCGAGCCGAGCGCTGATGGTATCATATGACCCGGATCTTCAACGATGAGGACTAGACAACTGATGGTGGGCTGATATGAAAGTGGGTTAGAGAGTGATGCTTCACCAAAGCGACACTTCCCTTTGGTTGACAGAGAGCATTTCCTTTGGTGGAGTGCAAGACTTGCAGGCAACACAGCAGCATGTCCTAGGTGGCCTAACCGCAGTGTTTGCTAGGCTTCTCTATACACGTCCCTCAGGACAGAACAGCTCTGCTCAGTTTTTCCAGAGCATGTCAGCTGTGGTCACAGAACCACAATCGTTTTGTAGGCTACAACACACATTAATACCGCACTACCACCCATAGATGTGTCTTCTTATAGCAATTGCATAGAGTTGTGGGAGCCTGACCTGAGTGTGTGCGCAGATGACCAGTCAGGGCGTCGCGGCGGCGGCAAGCGTAGCTGCAGAACGGGCATTTGAAGGGCTTCTCTCCCGTGTGGAGTTTGATGTGCCTCAGTAGGTTGCCCTTTTGAGTGAATGAAACCCCACACTGGTTACACTGGAACGGCCGGTCACCTGATGGACAGAGGATGAACAGAGTCACGAACAAGAGACACATGCTGATGTTAAAAACCATATAAATACTGCAGTGTTTTCAGTGTAGCTGTCTTTATATAGACTGTTCACCACACAGCACATGCAGGGACTGCTGTTTCCACTCGACGTTGGACGATATATTGAATATAAAAATATTAAATTAAGCAACATTAAGACTTTTCAATAGTGCCTTTGATATAAACTTCAGTGGAAAAATGGTGTAAGATTTGTAAAATGTATTTACACGAATCAGTCTATTTAAATGACTCGTTTGCACCATCACTCATTCTTACACTCTAAAAAATGCTGGGTTGTTTCAACCCAACTTTGGGTCAAATATGGGCTAACCCAACTTTTGGGTTAAAAATGTAATTTAAAAATTTAAACCAACAGTTGGGGTAGTCCATATTTGATCCAAAGTTGGGTTGAAACAACCCAGCATTTTTTAGAGTGTAGTTAAAATGTATACAACCATGAACTCATTTCTGAAACCAAAATGTCTGCATATCCTAAATATGGAGTCTGATTCATTTTCATAAATTGGTTCAAACTTTGCGTAGGTACATACTGCTGTTTATATTGATGAATATAAATAACATTTATTTAAATTTGTTGACATACAGTACTAATCAAAAGTTTTATTTTAAAGAAATTATATGTTGTAGCAATGATGTACGTTACATAGATCAAACATGACTGTAAAGACACAATTTTACAAGATTTCTAGATTTATAAGATTTATTTTCTATTTTGCTTTTCTATTTCTGCTCTTTTGAAATAATAAGAAATTTTTTGAGCATCAAATAAGCATAGTTTGATGTCTGAAGGATTATGTGACACTAAATACTCGAGCAATGACTGCTGAAAATTCAGCTTTGCTCTCACAGGAATAAATTTTAAATATATTAACACAGAAAACGTATGTTAAAGCGTAATAATATTTCACAAAATTATTGTTTTCACTGTATTTTTGATCAAATAAATGTAGCCTTTGTGAACATGAGATTCTTTCAAATACATTTTAAAAAAAATCTTACTGGACCAACATTTTGAATGGTAGTGCATTTTCATTTAATAATAAAAAAAAGAAAATGATTATGAAGGCATGTCTTGAACATTATCTAGATTTTTACTGCCTTTTCCTTCTTAAAGGGGTCATATGATGGGATTTCAGTTTTTCCTTTCTCTTTGGAGTGTTACAAGCTCTTGGTGCATAAAGAAGATCTGTAAAGTTGCAAAGACTAAAGTCTCAAATCCAAAGAGATATTCTTTATAAAAGTTAAGAGTAAACCACGCCTACCTAAAACGACTCGTTCTAACACACCCCCACATATCTACGTCACAATGTGGGAAGATTTGCATAACACCGCCCAAATGTTCAAGCAAAGAAAGAAGGCGTAACTTTTATCCTCGCTGTAGTATTGTTGTTGCCGCCACCGCCATGTCGTGAAGGCGCTCACTCTTGCCCGGCTTCAGCTCACGCTAAGCCGGGGCTTTCGCTCATGCTAGGCCGCTGTGTTTTTCGTTGTGAAAGCGAAACTACTTTGTTTGGCCTTCCAAAAGAGGACGATATCCGCTTCGTCATGCGTAGAGCTGATCTGTGCTGGTCGCTGAGGGAATATATCAACTTAGTGCTGTGGATCGCCGGATCGGCTTTCACCGTGGACGGAGCAGAGTCCAGTCCGGGGTCGTCACATGTGGTTGCCGCAAGCCCACCGGCCGCTCCTTCATCGAATCCGCCGGCCACGCCTTTCGTAAGACCGCTGGCCATTCCTCACTCAAGCCCGCCCGCCGTCGCTCACTCAAGCCCGCCGTGTGTGATGCTTTGTGTGTTTCGTTGTGAAAGCGCAACTACTTTGTTTGGCCTTCCAAAAGAGGACACGACTAGAAATCAGTGGTTAAGTTGTATTTACAACACTGTTCCAGAACACTTCAACCCAAATAATCAGATGTGTGCAGCACATTTTATGGAGGACTGTTTACTGATCCTGGAAGAGTAACGTTAGACTAAAATGCCGGCAGTTCTGACTCACGAAAGTACGTTTTCATTTAAAGGATTTGCCACTGATGATTCAAACGCGAGCTTTGAGCAGTGTAGAGTAGCGCTTGTTGTTTTGATGATTCAAACGCAAGTTTTGAGCAGTGTAGAGTAGCGCTTCTTGTTTGTCATTGTCATTTCTCCGATCACAAATCCAGACATGGTTTTATGTTTACGCTGCGCGATGCAACGCAACGCGTAAAAAGACAGTATAAGTCATTATAATCCGTAATTATGTCCCCACTGGATGCAACAAATGCCTCGTTTATAATGAGTTTTAATGTTATTGTCTCGTCACTCCGGCCGGGACACTGACTGCATCACAGTATGGTAAGGGGCGTAACATTTCCGTCACACGCTTGAGGTATTCGGCCAATCACAACACATTGGATAGCTGGCCAATCACAGCACACCTCACTTTTCAGACCGATGAGCTTTGTAAAAATCGACGCGTTTCAGAAAGGTGGGGCATAGAGGAGAAACAATTATGTACAGTATGTGGAAAATAATGTGTTTTTTGAACCTTAAACCGCATAAACACATTTCATTACACCAAATATACAAAATAATGTTCTTTTTAGCAACATCATATGACCCCTTTAATTATACATAGATTTTGAGTTTAATTGGCTAAAATGACAGTTTGGTTCAAATAATGTTTCTCTGATTGAAAATAATTACCCGTATTAAACCTTTTTTAAGCTAATATACACACAGTTACATAAATTAATTACATTTATTAAAAAATATTAATTATATATACATTTTCAATGTATCACCCAGCTATACTGCCACCAAAGAATAACGTGCAATAATGATACCATGTGACCTCCATCATTGCCACTGCCACCAGATGAGCCCTCCTAAGGATCTAAAGGATCTAAAAAATGTCTTTAACAGCTATGATAACTATTCTAAATCTATCGGATACAATTTTCAGGTTTTGTTGATTGTGAACCTAATTATGTTGAAATAATTGGATTACTCATGCATTAGACCTGCTGCGTGAGCACCTGCTCTAAATATAGCCTGTGACTCTAAAACACACATCTGATGGACACAGACATTTCAATCATCGGTTTCTCTAACCCCACGTTGAGCGTTGGGATGTTGCTGTGGCTTAATTAGTTGAACGTTTTCTCATTGTGAGTGGAGATGAAAACCTGGAAAAGTGAAATATGACCCTGTACTGTTAGCGTGTAGTCTGGCAGTATCAACGTCAGCCCTGGGCTTGGGAACAGGTTGTGGAGGATTCCTGGGATGTTTTCCCTCAGAATAACTCCTAGTCTTAACTATTGTCTTCTTATAGAACAGCTACCCACTCCACACCCTTTTAACATTGAAAAAAGGAAGAACGCATGAGTGACAAGCCTTGGTCACGAAAGGGTTTTGCTACTTTAATGGGAAGTCAGTGAAATGTGTTCTGTCGAAACTTACTTGAGAAGTGTCACAATGAATTTAGGCAAATCATTTGCACTTCGAATTGTTGGATTATGGTGCCTTGCATAAAATACATTTTTCCTTTATAAAATATAAATATATTTATCTTTTATAAATATATACAAATATATATGTTATTTTAAACTTTCATGTTATTTATACCACACATTTTATTAATTCTCTGACTTTTCCATAAATTTTCTGTCATTTTATGAGTATGATAATGTATGTTGAGCTGCTCAAGTCCTCACAAACACCAATACTTAGCTGAATAAATTTTTAGATGAGAGCAATCCTAGAAGAAATATATTCACTTTAGAAGGTTCCCATGTCCATATATATATATATATATATATATGTATGTGTGTGTGTGTGTGTGTGCGTGTGTTTTTGTGACATATGAATACACAAATTTGTATAATGACATGGGTATGACATAGGTATTACAAGGAGAAGGTGACTTATGAGGACATTACTCCATGTACCCATTTTTCAAAACGCTTATAAATCATACAGAGTGAGTTTTAGTAAAAATGCACATTTGGAAAAAAAGTATTTTCATTTTTTTTTATACATATATTATACATTTATTTACCATTATATTTACCATTTGGCAGTCTTATCCCCGTCTCACTCTGCACTTCTGTTCCTGGCCCAGCATCTTGTAAGTTATTTGGGCTGTCAATCATGGGCTCCTCCAATCCAGAGCCTTCTTCACCGCTGTGTCCCGCCTCATCCGGCCTTCTCTCCGTCTCCTCCTCAGTACCTTCCTCTTGTTTGATTGTGCGTGCTGTAAGAAAACATTCAAGCTTTTAAACGAGTTTTCACACACTACAAAACACAAAAGTCAGACTTCATCGCCCACTGCACGCGCTACAGTAGTTTCCATACACATGATCAAGAACTGAAGTGTGAATTGCGACTCTTTTGAAATCACTGGTTACTATGACAGCACAGTGACCAAGAAATCTGTCCTCCAACACGATAACAGCATCAGGATGACAGCAAACAGGAAAAAAAGGCAGACGCAGCTGTAGTCTCTAGTGTAGCGAGGCAAACGGTGGGCAGGTGGAGTTCTACATGACTGACAGTGGGAGACAGTGTAGAGGAGGTGGGCCAGCGCTTTGGTCTGGACTGAGCGGGCCTCTCCATTTATCGCAGCGCGCAGGCTGTCAAGCACCTCCAGGGAGGCCACCCCCACACGTGCAGACACACAGAGCGTGACAAAAATAGACATGCAAAGGGACGTATAAACACATAGCGACACGTAAACACGCGACAGCCCGGCCCTCAAGTTTTCCGTCTCAACCACGCACACTCTCCAGGTTTCACGACAGGTGGAAAAAGAGCAGGCAGCTTTCTACACCATCCTAACAAACCTGTTTGTAATTTTACCATGAGTTTAATCTCTGGGCGAGAGCTTGAGACTAAGCTTTGAGTCACCTTCGTCTTTCCCGTCCGTGTGAGTGTTGTCCTTCAGGCAAACCGCTCTGCTGCTTCACTAGATCTGAGTCACAGTCTGCGAGTATTACTGAAATCTCTCTGATCTCCCTAAAAAAGGTCAGCAGCACCCAATCTTCGCAGACGCTCACAACCGAGCAATATCCCTCATAAACACTATTCGGATGGGACTAGTTTTCCCTGAGGAGGTAAGGTGTGTTTCACAAACATACTTTGTGATCTGTCAGAACAGCATTTTTTCCTCAAGCAATCTTGGTAAAAATTATGAAGGCAATTTACCCATAGTTTTAGACTTCTTCTGATTATATTGACCTTTGAATAGTGTAAGTAAGGCTAAATTTGTTGTTGTGCTCCCCAGTGCAACCTCATTATGGATTTTCTCCTTTTTGCCAACTTTAACAGCTGGTGACTCAAGTTCTCATCTTATTGAATGTAGAAAAAAAAAATGAATTCAATAAGCAAAGTCTGATCAGTGTGAGGTAAACTCCATTAATTCATCCATTAAGCATATTATATTATATTATATAGCATATCAGAATTATTTCTGAAGGATCATGTGATGCTAAAGATTGGAGAAATGGCTGCTGAAAATTCAGGAATAAATTAAATTTTTTTAATATATTAAAAGAAAACAGTTTATTTAAATTCTAATCAAATTTCACAATATTACAGTTTTTACTGCACTTTTGATCAAATAAATGCAGCCTTGGTGAGCATAAAAGACTTCTTTCAAAAAGCTTAATGATTCCAAACTATATATATTAATTATAAGATATAAATCTTAATTATTCCAAAAATATTTAGGTATAATTGGTATATAAAAATGGTAATTAAAACATTTTTAAAAATGGCACATTTTACAGCACATGACCTACTGAAAAGCCCTAATCCAATACACATTCTCACCCTGGTGTCAACTAATAAGACCCCCACCCTATTCGAATCAGTTTAGAAAATCCCTTCCAAGTAAAGCTATACACAGACTAAAATTACTGTCAAATATATCAAGCATCTGTTTAAATCTCTCAGTTTAGAAACTGTTTACACACGATAACATGCAGGTTCACAGAGCTTTTGAAAGATAAGTGCTGTGTGGCAGTGCCACAACGATAACCCTCACTTCACCCGCTGGCAAGTATTACAAGCGTACTTGCTTAATATTGCACAAGAGATCTTCACTTTCAAAGAAACATGTATGACTCGCAATAAGAACGGCAAGCCTTGGTGCACAAAAGAAAAACTTGCTCTATACCCACAGCAAATGCGGTGCAATCCTGTCAACACATCACAATCGAACGCCGTTACCTTAATGTGACGAGACGTATGTTTTTCCAATTTCTATGTCCATTCTGCCCATCACTGACCTCAGAGAACAGCTCTAGAATACACGTTATGGAGTGTCTATGATGGCTGCAGCTGAGTGAACTTGAAATGGTTGCCGGGACAACATACAGAATCCTTTAGCATTCTCATCATCAACTGATCAAAGGAGATGAATGAGAACAAAATGCACTCAATGCTGAGGATACATACACCCCCGAGCCAGCGGCTAACAGGCTCACATGACAAAAGCAGAGTAAACCGACATAGTCAGATGCATAAATAATGTGTCAGGTCTCTTTCTATTAAAATTTCACCGTTGCAGAAAATTCTTCTGGCAAAAGGCTTTAAATAATTTCTGCACAGAATGATATAGTCAAATCTGCGCATCCCTACGCCTCCGAGTGCAAGTACGGGGTTAACTAAACCAAATGTGTAGATTAGACTTCTCTTTACCCAGTAACATGTTTCTCAACGTCCTGTGCAACATGACCAATAAATTATCTAGAAGAATAATCTCCATCTGGGATCATGGTCTGCACCTCCATCTTTCAGCGGCGAGCGCTTCCCTTTTCTCAGTATGCAAGCTCATGCTGACAAGCCCTCCATCGTATACCAGCAGTTGATTTGAGGAAGGGACATGACACAGACTGGGCCTATCCCGTCGTATCGTAGATCAAGCTGCAACTTCTATTTTTTAGACTGCAAGATAAAGGTCCTTCCTCTGTCCCTTGCGAGCTGATGCTCACTCATTTCTCCTTTTTCAAATCTTTTGCAATAGAAAGTGACATACTGTACTTCGTATTCTAAGGCTAAAGGGATAGCTAACCAAAAATTCTGTCAGCATTTGCTCTCTTATTTCAAGCTATAAAAAAGGATGTAAAAGCACTACAAATATTGTGTGCTCTATCTCAAATGTTCTGAAGCCGTATGAAAGCTTTGTGTGAAAAACAGATCAATTCAGCATTTACTGATAATCTTCCTTTCTTAGTAAGCTGTTATCATGACAACTGCTGCAAATGAATCAATGTATCATTGAGTTGATTCAAATGAACAAATCATTCAAAACATCTTTTATGAACTGAATCAGTGATTCCTTAGTCAAAAGAACGATTCACTTGTAAAACAGAGTTTGTTACTTCTGCTTTGTGAGAGATGTTTTCATGGAATAATGACTGAAATTGTGTGCTTTTCCTCACTTAAAGATATTATATGATTTGGAAGACTTTCGATATAGTCATATGGCCTACATTTATGAACTTTTGCATCCTTTTTGAAGCTTAAAAAGCTCCAGTCATGATCTTGTGTGTTACACGAAAAGAAAGAAAGTCATAAAGGTTTGGAATAACACATTCCCCAGGAAAAAAAAAAAGGTACAAAGCTGTCACTGGGGCGGTACCCTAAGTATAAATGCTAAAAGGTCTTTAC